TTGTAACTTTTCGGTTACATTTAGTAAATCTTTAAACCAGAGTAGCGTCAAACCATGTCTGATTGTCCACCTGGTTGCCTTGTGAACTTTAATATATGAACTTAATTATTCAAATAAATTCAGAAAGTACCTATTATTTTCCTATTTTTCAAAAATACGTTTCAGATTTTGGAGAAAGCCGAAAGGTTACTCAACAACTTTTCAGTAGGGAATTTCCGCAAAGTGGTAGAGCATTTGAAAAAATTGCGGAAACTAAGACTTGCCAGAATCAGCTGCTCCTCTTTGGGTTTGGTATCCTGCACTTATATGCTGTGTCAGTCTTCACAGTAACCCTGGGTTTTGAATAAAAGAGTTCCGAAATTAATTTTTCCTCCTCATTTAAGAATGGCTGCCTGTAAGGATCGAGAATCGTCCGTCAGCGACCATTTTGGTGAATTGCTCATATTTTGCTCAACGATACCCTTTGGTAAACTGTTTTCAAAAATCAAGTTTAAAAGTTTCTACGAGTGTTAATTTTTCAGAAATTTGCGAAAATTTGAAAACGCGGTTTAAGTGCGGTTTTCCGCCTGGCAAATTGTCCAAAATTCACTGCAAAACCCAAGCTCCGTTGAAGGCTTAAAATGAATTTAGTTAACACCAAACTACACACGTTTTAAGAAAAAGTCTTCCCATCCATTTGTGTTATGTTAATTTTTTCCGTACACAGCTATGTTGTGATTTTTTTTTTTTTTTGTCCCTTAAGCAACACCCTCAAAAAGTGCTATATATGGGGCGAAAAATAGGTAAAATTTAATGCAATAGAAGTCTACCTGGTACATAATTTTTTAAATTTTTAACTAGATATTCGAAATAAAGTGTCATTATTCAATACCTGAGTAAAATTTGAGACTTTGAATCGGAACGCTTCCTTTTGAAAATACAACAAATGTTTGTGACCTGAGCGAGCAAAGATGTATGTTGTGTAAACAAACGCTAATCTAATTATTTCCTGCCAGGTAGAAAAAGGTTTTGAAATCAACTTTAATTTTGGAAATTCTTAGCTGTTATGCCACAAGATATTAGGTAAAAAGGAAATCATACATTCAGAGTTGCGTGAGAGCAGAGAGAAAATAGAATCGATGTCGAAAATGTACATACGGTTGTTCCATCGATCACCATTATGCAAATTACTACCTCAGCTGCAGGAAAACTATGATATCTCTTGCTCATTTTGTTGGATGACTCTTTTAACCATTTTGGTGAATTGCTCATATTTCGCCCAAAGAAACCTTTCAATAAACCCTTTTCAAAAATCATGTTTTTAAGTTCCAGCGATTCTTAACTTTTCATAAATTAATGAAAATCTGAAAACGCGGTTTCAGATTACCTGAGTTCAGGCTCCGCATGTCGCACAGTGAAAAATTAACTGCAAAAACCAAGCTCCGCTCAAGGCTTAAAATGAAATCAATCAACACCAAATTTCACACGTTGTAAGGAAAGCTATTCTTGTTCAATTCTGGTGAGTAAATGTTTTCGGGCTCATCGATTTTGGGATTACTTAAGCCCTTGAAAGAACATCCTTACAGACCACGCAAAATGGCGTTGAAAAACGGGTGATATTTCGCGCGAAAAAATGTAGCTGTTACCTGACACTTTGGATTTTTAACAATATATTCGTCAAACATTGCTATTTCCATTCACTGTGCAATTTTTGATGCTCTGAATCGCATTGCTTCCTTTCGAAAATGTCAGAAGTGTTCGTGACCTGAGCGAGCAAAATGATGCAAAGTGTGTAAACAAATAACTAGGTAATTTAACCATATTGAGTTGTTAAATATCCAAATTAAATTCGGTCTCCGTTGTAGTGACTTATAGCTTGTAAAATGTAAAGAGACAGGTCAAAAATTTTGCAAGATGTTTGATAAGGTTCTCCAAAACATTTTTGGGCTGAAAAATCTGCAAGTGAAGTACACATTACATTACCACCTTCTCACATTCAAGTAATGCAAAAGATACATTCGAAAGAAGCTACTTAAGACTTGATTCCACACTGATAATCTAAATACTTTTTATCTTTTACAATGAGAACTCATTTTCTGTAAGTATAAATACAAAGAAAGGCGCCTTATGACCTTCAAAGTAATTTAATACAAGAGAACAGGTGAATAA